GTAAATGTTATAGCAATGTTTTTGTTTGTCACATAATGTTTATCAGCTGCAAAAACTGTTGTCCATGTGAATTATGGGAGAGGAAGACACTTTATGAACATGCGCTTCAAAATTTTGAAAGGTAAATTATATCACCCTAAATAAAACGTTTCAAAATAATTTGAGATAATTGTTTTACATCTCCCTCAAGTGTCTTTAAAAACAATTTTGTCTGTGGTGTTTCTTTTTCCTTCTTTTTGTTAAGATTAAACGTTACTGCTGAACGCAGAAGCTCTTATTTTGAAAAGGCGAGCTCTCGTGTGGTGGTCGCGCTGCTTCGGAGATGGTCAGACTGCGGCTTTCAGAGGATGTAAGGCAGTCACCTCTGCTAATGGTGGAATATTTATAGCCACTAGAGGAAATTTGCAGCTGGACATGACTGTTTTTGCAGTCATTGTCTGTTTTGTTGTTGTTAGCACATACAGGTTGCGTGGTTTGGTCACTATAACAGTCTATCAGTGACAGTTAGCAAATAACGAAGTTTCTAAAAGGAGCTAACGGGTACTTAGAATCGTAGCAGGTATATAATTATAGACTGATATTATTTGCGGATTTGGTTCAGATTTATCATTCATTGTAGAATGACAAAATACACTGTCAGTAATTAAGCCTTGGGATTGAAAAATAGGATAAGATGCAGAGGAGTTCACAATACTCTAATTTTCCATCAGTAATGTAATTAATTGTTGTTTTTTTGTTTCTGTTCTGTTTTTAATGCTAATGCACTGCTGTGGCTGTTGTTGTTATTGTTGTAATGTCTACTCATAGGAAGTGTGTCAAGCACCACAAAATAAGATTAAATCAAATCAAATGTTGTTTCCGGCTTCAAATTTCAGGATTTAGTCCTGTGTGAGGGCTGGAAAATGTTTACAAGTAAGACTAAATAATCAATGAGCCTGTTCTTTTCCCAGGTGACCGTCCACTCTGGTTGGCAACACACTTTCCTGCAGACTGTAATTCAATCCCTCTGCTGCAGACCTTTAAATATCCTCAAAGACCTCCCAGTAGCCACGTGGTGTAAGGTGAGACATTTCCAGTCCGGTACACTGGCCAGTCGAACATTACAAGTGGACTGAGAGCATGACCAGCCGATCCTGCAGATCTGGCCACTTTAGAGCTGTGATTTAACCTTCTACTGTACTCTCAAGGACTTGAAGGAGTTTTTTCAGAGGCGTGTCCTCCAGTTTCTCCTCCTCATCAGTATTGATCGGGTATGCTTTTTACTTCTTTTTTGTATCAGCCTACCTTGAGCACTTTGCAGTGAATGGAGAACATACTGATCCTGCTCCCGAAGCACCGACAGGAACACGGGCTCTGCAGACGCACAACTGCACGTGCCTCGCTGCTGTTCGTTTCTCACAAAGTGTCCTTTTCCTCCTCTTCAGTAGCAACACCCACTCCCTGTGAACCTCTTTAATGGGATAAATCAGCTGGACTGATCAGGTTTAAAACCAGATCAGGCTGCAGATATCCTTCTGACTTGAAAAAAACTGTTAGGCCTTTCAGGAAAACTGTTTTTTTCTTGGTCAAGTCCACTGTCTTGTTAAGGCTTCCGCATGGTACTTTGGTTAAAAGAACAAGACAAAGTCCCCGACATCAACATGTCCTCTGGGACCGTTGACATGAAGAAGGAGGCAGGTACCCTTACCTCGGCCTTCCTGAACTCCAACTGCTCTGTTCACCCGTTGATCCTCACTCAGGGCTCTGAAGAAGTGAGCGCAGTTACCGAGGCTGAGTTCGAGCTCACAGAGGTCACGTCTTTTGTGGAGAGAGCGACTGAGATCGGAGAGGATGAGGAAAGGTCAGAGATCGGGGTGACCATGGACTGTAGAGCCAATGCCAAAGGGCAGCGAGAAGAGGATGCTCTCCTGGAGAATGCAAGCCAGAGTAATGAGAGTGATGACACCAGCACTGACCAGAGTCCTGAACCACCGGTACCACTCAAAGAGACCTCTTTCTCCATCGGCCTGCAGGTGGTGTTCCCCTTCCTGCTGGCCGGGTTTGGGACAGTC